ATTAAGCGGTAAAACGCATATCTAGATCTTCTCGCGCAAAAGTGAGAGAAATTAAATCCCAGGAAAGTTAAGAGGCCAGTACTAATGCTATTCCCCAACCTACCCTCTCGCAAATCTTAAATATCCTGCAAAATATGTAACGAAACAGTCAAAATGGAAGCAGGAGATGTTTCAATTGTGGAATAATAGGGGAACCTTCAAAGAACCTGTAGAAGCAGGACTCGTTCTATAAATCGAGAATCAGGGAATGAGGCCGGAAAGTCACATAGATCAATTTTCCAAAGCCCGTCACGAAGTCCAACAAGAAATAGTTACATTACTGTTTATAACGAGAATGCCGGTATAGTATGGGGCTCCGAGAACGGGAGGAACTGGTTGATAAAGTTACTCTTCGGGCAATCACTATCAAATTAGAGGGCGTAGAAGAAGAAATCACCCTTGAGAGTCTGAAAAAGGCGCACAAGGAAGACAATGACTTGAAGGTTGGCCGAGAATAACTCAAAAAAAGTTACACCTACTTGGCAAGAGATAGCCAAATACAGTGGTGCTATTAAAGGGTACTGGACTCAGTGGTATTCCCTGTATCTTCACGATGGCCTACTGCATCGGAAGTGGGAAAGCCCTGATGGAGTACATGTAGTCCGCCAAGTGGTACTGCAGAAATCACATGTCAAAAGTGTGTTGAAGGAGCTTCATTGTAGCCGTTCGAGAGGACATTTTGGTACTAAAAGGACACTGGCAAGTTCGGGAAAGATTTTATTGGGTCAACTGCCGACGAGATGTAGCGGATTGGTGTAAAAAATGTGATATATGCAATGGCAGGACAAAGGTCTACGGATTCGCTCGGGAACTATTGAAAGCCAACAGCGATAAAGCAGAAGATAGAATCGACAGGCGTGTCACAGGGACATATTTTGAGAGAGGCGATCCAATATGGCTGTACAATCCCAAGAGCCGAAAAGGACTTTGTCAGAAACTGCAACGGAACTGGGAAAACCCCTACACCGTCCTCAAGAAAATTAACAAACTGATCTACCGAATTCAGTTGTCAGCGGGAAGTAAACCTAAGATAATTCACATTGAAAAGTTAGCGCCACATCGTGATCCAGATCCTCCATGTTGGCTCCAACCAGGTCTCAGTAATTAATTTATTCGGGGTAAATAACTAGAGAATACAAAAAGAAGTGCAATATTACTCATCGCCCTACATTGTGCTGCGGTCGTCATCAATAAAAGTACGAATCAAAGAAGATAGAATAGTCCAGAAATGTCTGGCAATGTTATTACTTGTAAATAAAAGCTAAACGACAATTCGAGAAGGGTCAATCAAGGTATATAAGTCAATGATCCTGACGTCAGTTTTCAGTTTTATGATAGACGTTATATGTTAATGTTATCAGTTGTATAGTTGTTGTAAAAGTTGAGTTGAAATAAATTGAGATACCAAAAACCTGCGAAGTAACAGAAAATAAACATAAACAAGAACTAGGAAACCTAATAAAATACAAAATTAAATGTCAGATTTAGCAATATCGAAAAGTGAATAAATAAAAAATTATAATAAAATACGTCTGGCTTTCAAAGTCGCAAACTCGTCAATCAAGGTTGAATTGAAATAATAGCTAGATCTGATAACCGTTCTTACCGAAAATAGCTATTTGTGTATTGGGAGCGGAAAGTGCTACTTTGCCGCTTAACATAAAAAGTTGTCACGCGACGCGCAGCGGAGTGCGGCATTTTATCGTAAGCGGCAAATAGTTTTCCGCTCAAATTACTCACAAGATTTTTTCTACGATCACAAGATATTAAAAGTATATAGTTTTGTTTTGCCGAATTCAAATCTTACTACGTTAATTTGACAGACACGGCTAACTTGACTAGCAAACGAAAAGTATGTTGTGTATATTGTGTTGCCGGCTTACTCTAGGATTAATTTTATGATACGCATAAAAAATATTTGTTAGTAAGTACATTTTAAAAATAACTTACAAGATCATCGGTTAGAATACTCAAATCGCAAATTAATGGCTCATACACTGTTTTGTCTTATTTCATTTTACAAACAAAAAAACCAAATTTAAAAAAAAATAAATAATAACTGTTGAGGATTGAACTCACGACCATCAGGTTCAAAGATAAACGCACTAGGCTCTACACCAACAAGACATGTTAAATATGAGTGTTAAAAACAGGGTAAATTATTTTTAATATTTTAATTACCATTTAAATATTAAGGAAAATGAGTTTGAGTATTAAATGTTCAACTAAAAGATTCAGATTAGTCTACATTTTCTTTTAAAATACCAATTAGCTTTATAATAACAACTTTCCTAATGAAATTTTCTAATGAAAATAGGCGTATGCAAAAAGTAACTTTCCGCCTATATATGGCAATAATGTTAAACTATGACAATTGATGGAAAACGTCAACTTTCCAGTTAGATTTGAATGTGCAAAAGCCTACTTTGGATAGTCATCGTAGAAAAACTTATTTTCCTTGAAGCCACTGAAATAGGTAAGGCCAAAAATATTCTGAGGACCAAAAATAAATTTAGAAACAAATATTTCTGATTATTTTTTAAAATATACTTTAAAATATTTATGGGCGAATCAGCATCTGTTCTAGAATTAGGATTAAGAATTTGGTAAGACACTATTTCATTATGTAAATCAATTTCATCAATATCTTTACATATTTTTCCTTTCGTTTTAATTTGCAAAGCTATATCTAAATCCATGCATGATGCTTTAATCACATTTGAATCCAAAACGTCTTTGTAAAGACTGAATTGTGGTGTCCATAAACAGATCTAATTGCCTTAGATTTCTTCTTCCGTTTTAGGATTTCTTATTATTTCTTTCTCACACTACTTTTTAGACCTTTCGATTGCAACCATTTTTTTGGACAAAATAATGAAAGATCACATTTCAGAAGATGTGTTAAAGGACATAAGGTAGTAGAATAAGAATAACAAAATATAATCCCACAGTTTTGTTAATAGTTAATGGATTTCGGTTATATTGATATATTAGATTATACATGTGAGAGAAACACACTTTCCTCTGTAGCCAACCAGCTCCAGTCTTCCCTACTTTTTCACCAGAGTGAGATTTTTTAGGAGTTCTGTATTATCCTTTATCTTATCTGAAAACCCTTCACAGTTGCTTGCGATATTGCAGCAGAATATATTTTTAAAATTTTGAAATTTTGGAGTTTTTCTTTAATATTTAATGTTTACTGGTCAATAACGGCGTTTTCTGTACAAGATCAAATATTGGACAGACTTTTAAAATGATGTACATTACAACGAAATGCTGTATGGTTACCCTATCTGAACATAAAGATGTAAATACTTGCTTCGGATTTTAAAAATCATAGAGCGCATTATACAAGTTACTGGCATATATTTATAATGAAATTGTCAATCTCTATTATTGTTATTAGACATTAGCAAGTGCTTCTATATAATTAATTTCAATATTATCTTCCTACGCATCATACGTAATACAAAGGCTAGCGGGAAAGTAAACTCTAAAAGTCATCGACTATAGTCAATAAAAGTTCATGTTTTTCTGGTTTTCGTAATTACATCATGTCGAATTCCGTTGTTCAGTTATTTTATTGATGATGGATGATTATGTACCGTTAGATAAACACTGAGTAATTTTCAATTGTTTGACCCACAAATCAGATTCACTCTTTACTGCCAACTTTCAATTATTTATTGTATATGTAGTCTTTATAAATTTATTCTCTGTTAATGATTAGATATATTCGATTTTAAAATAGAAGAGAAATGCCAGCTGATTAATTATCCGCTGTTAGTTTTTGGGTGGAGTAATTCAATCGTGCACAGAGTAGAAAAAGCCTAACATTCCTGGACAATTATGAACATTTACTAAGTCGAGGTGTAAACAGGAATATTGCTTTTTATGAGAGGTGATACATACTATTTTTCCGCAAAGCGTCAAATTTTTCTAAACAGCACTACTTATCCTGATTCTGGTAAGGTTTGAACCCAAAAGTTCAGACTATCGTTTTACGCACTTTTCATACTGTTTTCAGCAAATAATAAGGAAAACTAAGTATAGAAAATATACAATATATCTAATTAATTTGGCACATTATGGAAAACTTTTATTCTTAGTTTTGGAACAAAAATTTGTCTAAAGGCAGGTTTATACATGCATGGATTTGCTGGCGTCTACAGCTTTTCCAGCAGTTTACACGTTCTTTCAAATATGCAACAGTCTGGCGCCAGTCTCATTATAAATGTGTAGTTTTCTAGTATTGAGTGGGCTGAAAAAGTAAAAATGTCAGTTGAAATTTCACGAAATGCTTACCGAATAGTTTCAAAAATATTGATTAATGATATGATTGCTGATTTAGAAAAAAATAAAAACGATAGAAGAAAGGGTCGTATATGGGTAAGAGGGTGGATATCTCGTAGAAACAGCTTGGGTGCTTCTGGGGGTCTGTTAACAGAACTTGCGAGAGAAGATTCTGAGAGTTACAGAAATCATTTACGTATGACGAACAAAATTTCAATGTTCTCTTGAATTGTGTGAGACCATACATTCAAAGATTGGATACAAAAATGAGAGATTATATACCCGCAAAAGTAAAACTGCAAATAACGTTAAGATATTTGTCGTCTGGTGATAGTTTTGCTTCTTTGAAATATTTGTATCGGGTTCCTAAAAGAACAATATCCAAGTTTCTACCCGAAGTTTGTGATGCTATCTATTTAGCAATCAAGGATTGCATCAAGGTAAGTAATTGGTAATACATACTTAAATTATCATTTATTAATACGGAAAACTAGGAAACACATTATTGAGGGTTTCCAAACTGCTTGTGATAGGAGATCGTTTGATTGAGTGTAAGTACTGTAAGTATTGTTTGAGGTGGTTTTAGCTGAAAGTGTTTTATTTCCATCACCATCACTGTGTACCAACACCGAGTGAGATTGATTGTTGATGTCAACAGATACTGGAGATTATATGGTTATATAATCAGAATACTCGTAGGAATTTGCAGCTGAATATAATATACTTTCTTCCCTGTAAACAATCTGTTGACTGTTTTTTGTATTATTCTTTAAGCGTTGTTGAATCAAATAAGACTGTATGAAGGCCATTGATTCGAGAGCTAAATGTTCTGAAAACGTTTGAAGGTGGCATGCAATGAATTTTCCGAAATAGTTAAATTCATTATTATTATTATCATCAGCAGGGGTATCAAGCTTTTCAGAAAGTTCTCGTAATTCCTGTATAGCCTTGTCAGTATGACTTTGTTTTCCTGTTGTTTGCCCAATCTTCATGCTTTTTGGAGCAATCAGAGTTGCTGGTTTTCTATTAGTTATTGACATTTTTGGTGTGGGAGGTATGGTGGGATTAGCAGGACTACTCATTACCTCGTCGTCATCGGTATAATCTAAATTTATAGACTGTGATTCCTTTCGTTGAGTTTCCTCACTTTGCCTTAAAAAAAATACCATTGACAGGTACCCAATACTGATGAAGAATGGGGAAAAATTATTAAAGGATTTTCAACACGGTGGAATTTTTCACACTGCTGTGGTGCCATTGATGGCAAGCATGTCGTAATAATAGGGAATGACAAGACTCTTTTAATGAGGTATCACTTGACCCCCTTCCCCTTTGAAAAAATTTGGAGGATGTCACCCCTACTGAGGGTGTTGAAGGTTTTACTATGCTTTTCGAGTCAAAAGGTGCCAAACAAACTTGACATTTTTTGGATTTCGCCAAAAAGTTTCTTTCCACCCTGTAATGCCTTGCAATACGTTTTCGATGGGACACCCTGTATGTATAAATATCGTTAGCGTAAATAAATAAAATTAATACAAAAAAACTTAATTTACCTTTCTTCTAGCCATTTATAAAGGAATAATACAGATATGCGATTAATAGTACTTTATCTATGGTGCTCGTAAATAACGTCGCTTTCAAGATCATGTTTCTAGCACGCTCTGTGAACGTTTTATTTTTTTGCGAAATGCTCGCATTTCACGGCAAAAATCCAATTGTTAAATAGTTTGTGTGTGAACACACTTTTAATTCTTTAGATGAATTTTTATAATATAATAACATTCGGTTTGCGTCACCTCAGGATATTGTTTTTGGTATCGCCATTGTTTTGGTCGCGATTTCGTAATGGCCTCCTTTGTTTTTCGCCTTTCCTCATCTTTTAATGTTGATAGTAATGCGATTTTAGACTAGTTGGTAACGGTTATTTTCAGATTAAAACGTTGATATCTTTTAGTGGAGAGCAATTTTAAAGATGTAATTAAATAATTGCCTCAAAAGGTCTATGTTAAGAAAATAATTAATTTAAAAGTTAAGAGTTTATACAAGGTGTTAATTTGAAAATGAACAGTATAATATTGCCTTCCAATGATGATATGAAAATTTGGCGAAACATGTCAATTTATTTATTTATTCATCCAAACAGGGCTATTGGCCTAATTACATGATTATCCTTATGTATAATGTTGTTTGATTAAATACAATTTTTTTTAACAGAAAAGTAGAGCCTGAAAACAAAAACCAAGAAAAGTAAATTAAAATAGAATAAAATAACATAAAAACTCCAATGAGGTATTCAGAATTAATTCTAATATTTCGTTTCAGATTTAGACCAATGTAAGAAAATTAAGGTATTATAACCTGATTAGCTAGTCTAAGTGTGTTTGAAAGAGGAACCCGAGATGATAACGTATTGGGAATGTTGAATACACGAAAGGAGCGAGTTCGTCTTGGAGGTACATTGAATCCTAATAAAGATAAAATTTCCAGAGAATCTATTCCATGATTTATTATTTTATACTTGTTAGAGTGCGTCTTTGGTCCAAAGATAAAACATTAAACTTAGATCTGAGCTCAGTGCTTTTAACAGTCAAATATAATTGCCACAGTAATTTGTATCTTATCGTATTGTGTGTGTATATTATGAAATTCCATAGTTTTCCTAATAATATATCCTAAAGTATGGTTGGCCGCCTGCAACAATTTTTAACCATTTACTGTATCCTTTTATTATATAAGGTGGTATACCATCCGTACCGGCTGGCCTTTGTAACATGAATAGCTGGTTAGTTTATCTACTTTGATATATGTGTTTGAGCTCAATTTATAGGGCGTGGGTTAGGTTTTTAAATAACTCTAATAACTTTGAAAAAGAAGTTGGGCACCACTATATTTAAAGCTTATACACTTGACTCTACATTAGTAATAAAAATATAGAAAATCACTAACCACTAACAAATTATAATTAAAAAATACTTTAGATAAGGTAGGTATCAAATTCTAATTCACATAAGTTTGCACATAATTCAAATTTAAAACAATTTATTGATTAGATCAATTGCACTTATCTGTGTGGTAAATAAGGTAATATACGGTATGGTAATTTAAAGGTAAAATCAGGTATATCTTCCTTCGCCCCAAACTGCAGAGGTACATCAATCCTTAAACATTATATACCGGTCAGGCAACTTCAACCAAGTGATTCGGGATTCTTATTCATAACTCTCATTCGTGACCCCTACTCGTGATTGAACCGTGAATGATCTTCAAGATAAATGATTCTTATTTGAATTCGAACCCGAACCGTCTAGAGATTGACATAGGCGGTCATTAACATAAATAAATATAAATGAATATTTCGGATAACCGAAATAAAATTAATATAGAAGTGATCTATTCGTCGCTGTCAGATGAAAAAAAAATGTCACTTCCTTCGACACAAAGCATAGACGACAAATGACATGTAAGAGGTGATTGTGTCCGAAATAACGAAATAGCGGTTTCAACCGTTACACCCCACTACCTCCGGGTAAAAAAATATTTTTAATTTGAATTTTTTATTTTTATTATTGCTTCATGAAAATCGCTTTCAGTTATTTTGTTTATCATAAATGATTTATCACAAGTTGTATATGAATCTTCAAATACTGTGTTATATGACGCCTGTTGAGACCAGTAGACCGAAGAGAAAAATTTTTCACTCGTAAAAAAAATTCTCTAAATTTGAACTATTTTCTCTTTTGTTTTTAATGTAAGTACAAAAACTATTCACATCAGTAGAAATGTTTTTTTTTTCCAAATAGTATAAATATTTTCGTTGTTCCGATTTTATTAAATTTTTACATTTTTTATATTATTAAATAACTTTAAATTATTGAAGTTTTTCATTGTTATTAGGTGTAACTATGGGTAATACCTTGGATATTAAAATCTCCTATAAGTATTTTTAATATTAATGATTTGTTCTTGTATAAAATTATAAACCATTTTGTATGTATCAACAGAGCTATTTGGAGGTATGTAAAATTTACCGACAAGGCTTCAAATGAGCTGCGATGTCTAACAATATTTAATATTTTATACTTGTTTTTATAGCTACTAACACTTCCCCTCCGGTGCTTTTGTTTGTAAATTTTAAATTTCTATTTGACCTAATTAAGGCATATGTTTGTATGTCGACAATTTCTCTATCTAAAACTCCTTCTTGCAACCATATCTCTACAGCTATTAAAATATCAAAATTGTTGGATATACTTAGTTAGTTTTTGTATTCAGACCCCTGTAATTCTGATAGTAAACATTTAGGTTTCTCGAATTTATTTTTGTTCATAATAATAAGCTCCATACAAAAGATAGAAAATCAATTAAATTTATAGAAATTAAATATTTCTGAGGATAAAATAAAATATAATTACGATTCATGATCATGTGAACTGACCATTACTGATTCTTAAAAATAATATGTACAATATACGGCTTAAACAATTTACTCTTATCTACTTTTTGTTGCTTTACATTTCTTCATTGTTTTCATCTTCGCAGTTGGGCTGAATTGACTTTACAACGTTGCAAACTCTAGCAAAAATTCTCCCATTCCTGGACCACACATTTTTACTGCCATACTTTTCTCTTGCAGTGCCTTGCAATTTATAAATTACTTTGGTAAGATCTTCATTTAAATACATGGATGTTCCCTTAAGAAATTTCTTCGCTGCATAAACCTCGTTCCTTTTCAGACATGATATAAATGTTATGAGTACTACGTCTGGTTTAGTACTATTGTTGCCTACTTTTTTTGTACGATACAGATTGACAATATCAATTTCATTACATTTAACTTTTAGTACTTTATTAATCAGGTTTATTACCTTTGTTAGCAGATTTTCGTTTAGCTCCTCGTTTAATAATAATAATAATAATAATAATAATAATAATAATAATAAATTTTATTGACCTCATATTAACCATTTACAAACAACTTTACAAAGTAAATAAAACATACAAACGGTCAAAAGGACTTATGATCAGTTAAAAACTGTTCTTCCTCAAAAGCCTACATGAAAGTAAAAAAAAAAATATTAAAATACGTATAACTATAAAACACGGATGAATAACAAAAAATATATATATGTATATACAAACACAACAAAAAACTTTTTTGACAGGATTTTTTTAACATTTTTTTCAACATTTTTTTGCATTGTATACATTTTTTTTTAACATTTTTTTGTATCACGTTTTCTTAATAATGGTTTACAATTTTTTACATTTATGGGTTTAATTTAACAGTTTGAAGGATTTGAAAAATCAAAATAATGTACTTTCTAATCAAAATCACCTTTAAACGATGGTATAGTTTTTAATTACACTTTTGAAGATCAATTTATCTCACAAGCAGTTTAGGAATATTAAATTATATTGCTTAAAAGTAGTAGGAGCTTACTTAGTGTGTTGTTCACAGCGACATGTGCGACATGTCATATACATGTCAAGGGGGACAATTTTTGAGGCATTGTTGTTGTGTTACTTTCAACCCCCTAATCCCCAGGGTACCTAACCCTAAAATTAATTTTAAATGGCAACCCCTATTTCGTTTACCATTTTTGTGTTCCCTAGGTAATTCTCGATAAATTTCATTATTATTTTTTTGTTAAAATTGAACTACCTAACCTCACAAATATGTGGGGACTGTATTTAATATATAAATTTAAATAATGCAACTTCTTAAAACGGGTTTTATTCACATATCACTTCATTTAAAAATTATTGTTTCTACAAATACTACATTCCAAATTCATTATTTAATTACATTTTGCCACTACAAAACATGAAATAATTTTACTTTTTTGTGCATCTTCTAACAAACAAGATTCTCCTTTTGCTTAGTAGGTACTGGGGCCTGTTTCATACAAATGAAGAGTTGAAGAGTTGAGGAATAAGGAGCGGCATAATGTTATAAGAGATTAAGGTAAGACATTTGGCACAACCCTAATAACACCGATCTGCCAGAAACATCCCATTTAGGTTCCATGTATGTTTCTATGTTTCTGACATAAATGCTACGTCCCTACGATGTCTCTAAAGAAACGTTTCTGGAATGATTTCTCAAGAATGTTTTAGAAACATCGTAATTATGTTTTAGGTATTCTATTTTCGTTTTAATTATTTTGAA